TGTTGTTGTTCAAGTTTGTGTTTTGTTATTTGTATTTTTTTATCATGTAATAAATTTTTCGTACCCTTGTATAGCTCTTTGAATATTTTGTAGATACTAATTTTATCTACAATTTTGTTAATATTAATACTATCACTCACTCATACCCTGTATTTGTAGTTTTTTGCCACTCAATAGTCCACTGCTTGTTCTAATTGCTGTTAATCTTAGTAGATTTTTGTTTTATTAAAACCATTGTTGATATTATGTTTTCATTTTTTTTCACATTTTTAAGAGTAAAGATTTCTGCGTATTAAATATAAAAAAATTAAATTAGAAATATCGAGACAGATTATAATTTTAAATATTTAATTTGACAATAAATAGTAAAATCAACTTACTTATCAGGATTGATAGCAGAGAGTACAAATATCAGTACTATCACATCCATGCTATTTTCATCAAAAGGTACTTTCCATATGAGCTCAGTGGCATCTAATTCAAATGCAATACATCTTTCTGTATTATACTCTGGAGATTCTTTTAAAATTTCTATAGCTTTTGATGAAAAATCTGACCCATACACCTAAGTAGTAAACAACAGATATTAATCAAATATGATAGGATCTGAGTAACCACAAATATATTTTGCTCTTTCGCTCCTCTATGCAACGCAAGTCCTAGAGTGTTCAACGTTACACAGAAAGTTTGGGTAATACCTGGCACTGGTGAAAATACTGAGTTATGAAGTAGAATTTTAATACTATTTACCAGAATTTAACCACAATTTTGGATAAAAATACATTTTTTTGACATTTCGAAATTGTATTCAAAATAGAAATTATTTTGTTTTGTTACTTCATAATTACAATATTAAAAAAGAAATCAATAAAACGAAAATACCAGTATTATTAAGTCATTAATATATCCGGGATATGACATTTATTTCAAAATTAAAGTCACATACATATAAAATTATAGTTTGATGTTAATATTGAAAGTAAACTAAATGTAAGACTAAATACTTAGCCCGTAGGATGGTATCATGAGTATTTTCCTAAGATTTCCTCATGATTTACAACAGAATTATCACTGAGAGAATTTTAATGTCATGATTGGGTGTAGTTGTCTTTTACAGAAAAATCAGATGCTATGATTTTTCAACAGAAGTGTTGTATAGTTGCTTATTTTTCAGTTTTACATTAAGCAATGGAATTTATATGTGTTCTTTTACTTTAATATCATATAAAACTTTTACTCCTAATTGCTCTTTTTACAGCATCCCTGACATCTTGAGTTTTTATTTTTGATACAGTACTTATGTTATAGTCCTAGTGTTGGAATAACTTTGTTTCAAGATTTCTCCTTATTTTCAATTTTTATTCATGTCACACTACAAAGACTGATTTTTAAAGCATCCACAACTTGCTGATGCAATATTTATATAACAGTAGCAGGTTAGGTAAGGTTAGTTTAATTACAAGTGTCCTAAGAGGTCTATGGTGGCTTATCACTAGGTTATAGTTATCACTTCAGCCCAGCCTTTTTGACAAATTCTAATATATCCTTAGGTGACACTTCTACAAAGTCATAGGGTTTGAGTCGATAATGCTGAAATGTATTGACCCTTATCCTATCCAATCCTGGGCAATTACACAGAACATGTTCTGACATCTTACTGTCAATCTGACAGAATCTGCAATTTGTACTTTCTTTCACTCCAATTTTGTCCAATCTGACAGAATCTGTAATTTGTACTTTCTTTCACTCCAATTTTGTTCATGTGTTCCTTGAGGCGACAGTGTTCTAATAGGAGACCTACAATAATTCACAGATCAGTCCTATTCATATTTAGCAGATCTTGAGATCTGTTCTTCTCAAACATTCATGTATAAAAGCCTTCAAATGCTTAAGACCTGTTTGTTTGTACCAGTAGTTGCGTTTCATCCTTACACCCTGTCTGATATTAGACAAGTAGGCATGCTACTTCTGTTTTGTTCCCTTCAATACCAGTGAGCTAAGGCACTCAGTTTACTTTGTTACTTATTAACAAAAGATAAATGGTACATAGAAATTATGTTGCAGACAGAAGAACTAAATATGTAGAGGATATGAATAAAAAACTGAAGGAATAGTGTAAACATACAGAGAATATAGAAACATAATGAAGAAATATAAAACAATGTATAAATGAAGCAGCTACTGGACACAAGGACATAAGCTACTGGTCATAAGGATAAAAAGAAATTGCAAAATACATGAATGTATAAATAATGAAGAATGTCATATGTTTAAAAAGATGGAAGAAAACAAATTAAGAAAACAATGTAAGAAAAAAGTAAGGAAAATTAAACGAAAATGGTTAGATGATAAGAAAATATATTTTCTTATATAAGAAAATTAGTGAGCAGAACAAAACCTTTAACTAAAAGTTAAAGACATAAGGGATAGAAATTGAAAAGTATCAGAAAATGTCTAAGGATTTATCTTGATTAAATATTTTTAAAAAATTAGTAACAGAACAAAAGGATCAAAACTTAAATAAAAATGTGGAAGAAATATATTATGATAATAGGAAACCAGTTAGGAAAACCAACAAAAGATGAAGTTGAGGAAACTATAAAGTACCTGCATCAGTAAAAGTACAGATAGCATAAATATGAAACTTATAAAATATGGTAGAGATTAGTTAAGAAAAAAGACTATAATATTAAATAAAAGACATATAGGATGAAGAAAAAATGCTGGAAGAATGGCGCAAAGGACAAATTATCAGGATTCATAAAAAAGTGATCCAACAAATATGTAATAATTACGAGAACTGACATTAATAAACACAACACATAAACTCATATACACCTTAATACAATGAAGGCTTTCCACAGGGATGACAAATATCTTAGGATAGTATAGATGTGGATTTATTAAGGGTAAAGCTGGATTTATAGTTTGACAGACTGTAGACAGTAAATATTATTTCAATTTATAAATTGATGGAGTGGAATTTTTGCGCATGGGTAAAAACAGTGGCTAAACTAATGACCATGATACTATATTATCCTTTCAGTATTTATTATTATTCTTTTACAAATTGTTAACATCCATTGTAACAAATCATCAACAAAGTCAAAATTCGAATATGTTGATAAGCAACTTTACAAAATGGTGGGCGGGCCAGACAGTTCACTTTGGTTGACAGCACAAAATTCCTTCCTTTTGATTGGCCAGACGCAAGTAACACACTGTAAAAGATGAAAATTGAACAACTCTTCTGTTACAGTGTGTTTTGCTTACATCCCGTCATGTGTTTACATTCATTTATAAATAAGAGTACACAAAAGTCTATGTTGATCTTTTTCCAGTGCGTTTGTGTCTACAGTCCATCAAACTATAAATCCAGCTTAAGTCAAAGCCATCATATTTCTTATTGCCAAAGTTATTAGTGTCATCATTATTCATTTCATATTTCTTAATCTTTTGCCAGATCACTGGATGTTATACAATCTCTCAAAATTGAAAGGCCTATATAAATTGAAAGTGTTTATGTGTTAATACAAATTTCTAATACTAAATATGAGAAAACACATAATTTAATATGAATCTATACCTATTAATATTATTAATTTCTTACTTTTAAGTTTTTATTTGTAGAGTACTGTAAAATTGGGAATATAGTATTCCCAACTCCACATCCAATTTCAAATATTTTTTTCTCCTCTGAACTATTATCATTCAATTCAGGAAATTCTGTAAATAACCAATGCCTGTCTTTGAAAAACCTATTTGAATGAATATCATAGAATGCATTCCAGTATTTATCAGCATCACTCTCATATTTGTGAATATCATCCTGAGTGAATTTTATAATGCTATTTACATTCACTTTATTTTGAGCTTCTTTTTCTTGATTCTCATCCCATTCAACATCATCCCTTAAAATAAAATTAGATTTTTTTAGCACATATGTATTTCATATCACTGTAAAAATTTTAGTAATTTAACAGTCTTCATCATCAATCAGCCAATCGCGTCCACTGCTGGACATAGGCCTCCCTCAGTTCTTTCCAGTGTTCTCTACACTGGGCTGCTTGTAGCCAGTTTCCCGCTACATGTTTTATATCAGTGCTACACATTAACAGTTTTATTCCAGAAACAAGATAATTAAATATCTGTAGTACTTTATTTTAAATGGTAATTGACCAATATACTTAATTTCAAATAAAAAAGCATTCCACATTCGGATTTACATACCACGCGTTGAAGCTAAAAATATCTGATTTATCAGTTAAATAGCGAGATCCATATTTCGGTTTCTTTCGGTATCTTGTAGAACAGAACCGAGAAAATGAAACAAATTTACACAGTAAACTAATTTTGTTCATACCAGGCATTGTGCTCAAAAACATTTTCATCATCAGTTAAAAAGCGATTCCCAAATTGAGGCCTTTTTTCATCACCCATAGTTTATAGATGTTAGGAAAAATTTATATTTAGAAGTTGCAACAAACTAATTACACATTAATAATTCTAGAATTCTAGTGATTCTAGTCTCACTTTCGCCACATTTTTGGAGGTTATAACTCTGTTATGAAATTGTCAATGCCATATGCCATATATATTTGATATATTTGAACTACAACACAATTGAAGGACGACAGCCATATCAACCATTCATAGAATCTCCCAAGATTTTCTTATTCTGCTAAAATGCTTCTCAATAATAAATAAATTTTGATCTCATTAAAACGCTTAAATAATATTACTTTAAATGTGTCAATTAATTTGGTATATATTTCATTATATGCATCAAACATCGATATTATATTCACGTTATTTATGTAAAAATTAACTAACAAAATATAAACAACAAAAACAGTATAATTCCTTTGAACATCATTTTTTCATTATTAATAACAATCTTAAACTAAAACATATTAATAAATGAATAGTTCATTAAAACAGTGTTAAAATATTTGAAGAGTTATGCAACCAAAGTTAAAAATGGATTTGTGACGTCGTAAGTCCTTTATAACTTCCTAATCAAGACTACCGAAATGTCAAAATCATAGGTTGTAAAAAGGTGTATGCTGCAGTCTGTTATGGTTATGAATATTTTGATCAAATCAAAATAATAATAAACACACTTCACAACAAAGGCCACTACAATGAATGTGGATATAGACAAAAGTAGTGTGGTTCAATGGTTCGATGGTCAAGAGAAACATCGTTGTGGATATTGTAAACATAGTGATACTAGCATTACACATGGTAAATATATATAAATTAGAAAACGTCTTTTATTTTTCCTACAGAATACGTTATTGGTTAAATAAGGGGTGTTACTTCTCAGTTATTGTGCTACATGTCCATCGAAATATCAAAACATTTTGAATTACCTTCCTACAACGTACATAACAGATAATTAGTTATTCAATTTGTAAGTTGTATTCTGTTAAATATTTTTCACTTAATACTTTCTGTAAAGTGTGATTTCGTTACCTATGTAAATTGGTCCACATTTGGCAATAGTAATAAAAAGTAAAATAGTTATTTTAATGTGCCTTACACATTTCTGAAGACCATGTTGCTATTGTCAGTTTTTAGCCATTATAGCACTATTTTCTCATTCATTTAGAATGAGAATAGTACTACTTAATTGTTCATTATACAGCCCCTGGAATTGATCAATTACGTATTCATGTGATTATCTGATTTTGAGTGTGTTACTGTGTTGTACCTATTATAGTAGAAATACATTTTTGAAATTAATTCCTAACTTGTCTGCCAAATATATGTAGTACTTAATTGACAATTCTCCTTATCATAATGTTCAAAAAGATAAAGCATCAAATTCTAATAGCAGGAAATATAGTTATTAACTATGATATTATTATCTATGTTAATATAGTAAATCCTGATTTATTTCATATTTAATATTGTTAAACTCAATCAAACACCATTGTTCTTAGGCTATTTTCTTGCGACATTTTAATATTATTTACTATCTTTACTTAATTGGAATTAACTACAATTTCAGTTTAAAATACATATCTGCCACATTCGTATGCCTTTTTACCTCTGTATGTTAGGTATGTAATATCTATCCAATTTCAAAATATATAGATAGTTAAAAGGCACAAAAAGATTTTTACGATACCTATATGTTTCCTTGCTTTCACTCTTATCATTACTTGATGACTTACAGAAGTAGGCTAGAGTAACTTAAAATATAAAGATTTATTCTTCATTAACTATATAAAGTTCTTGGTACCTAAGATTAACTTAAGGTTAAATCATAGAGGGCTGTTTTGTATTTGTGAGACATATTGCCCACCCATAAACAGCATGATGAGGCAGTGCAATATAATTCTAAAAATAATCTATGATTCTAAAAACATAGATATCTTCAACACCAACACCAAAGCCATTAAATCTAGCTTTCTACCTACTTCAATCACTATATCTTATTTTGTATATCTGTCATAATACACCAAGATATGGATGTCTTTATCTACATGTATATATGTGTATCTGTATATATATATTTGTAATTCATACTTGTAGTTACATTTGATCTGTAAAATGTGTTATGCACATTGGATGTTGGAAATTTGTATGGGAGTGAATCAGCAAAATCATTAAATATGTAATATATAGGTAAGAGAGAGACAGAAGGTATATTTTCTATCTCTTAGTGTCTCGAGAATAAAAATGTTCCTAAATATATTTAATATAATTAATAGTTATTAATATTATTTTATATTAATTCAGTATATATATATATATATATATATATATATATATATATATATATATATATTGGCCAAAGTCTTTTACAAATAAATATTCTTCCTAGAACTTCTATCATTCGTAATAACCTTTCCATTTTTGGAATACAATAAATAAATAAACACAAAATACAACCAAAAAACTGACATCTTAAATAATGTTCTTGTCAAATAGTGACATTGATCAGCCACCTTATTATTTAAAGTTACTGGTCGAATCACGGTTGACCAATAAGGTTGAAGTGCGGTATTTACAACCAGAAGTCAGGAGTTCGATCCCAATGAGGGAATATATTTTTTTAATTATTATGTTCTGATTTTTGTCACTTTGGTTTTAAACATCAATGAATGGAGAAATCATAATATCTTTTTTAATATTGTTTTGCTAATTTTATACGTTATTTAATTTTCTAAACAATTTTATTTATCATTGAATACTTAATACATATATAGTAGTCATGGGTGTAGAGATAAAATGGACAAATATAATGATTGTTATTTTAAATTTTTTTTATGTATATGTTTATATGTATGGAGATAAATTTCAAAAGAGGTCAATTTTATTTTTAAATTATGATTTCACCTAGAGTTAATTTAATAAGATCTTCACAATTTAGTGGGGATTTTAAAATGGTGCAACAAAGAATAAAAAAAAATCAGGGACCTAATGATTTATACAAGTGCTTTCAAATAATATATTAATTTCTCCATGATTCCATTTAAAAGTATCTTACGAAATGGCGCCAAGACGCTATTAATAAAACTAAGGCTTAGTTCTTCTTCTTTAAGTGCCATCTTCGTTCCAACGGTTGGCGATCATCAGGGCTATACATATTTTCGAAACTGCTGACCGAAACAATTCTTTGTTGCTACAGCTATACCATTCCCGTAGATTCTTTAGCCAGGAGTTTCGTCTTCTTCCTATGGACCTTTTTCCTGCTATTTTCCCTTGCATAATTATTCGAATCAGTTTATATCTTTCACCTCTTGTAATGTGTCCCAAGAATTGCAGTTTTCGTTTTTTGATTGTAAATATGACTTCCTTTTTGACTTAGTTCAGTTACCTCTAAATTTAGTATTTCAAGTTTTAAGGTTCAGAAAAGAGTTGTTTGGGTGGGACTTATTTCGTTTTTGAATTTATACTTCTATACGCGCGTTCGACGCTGGAAATTTGTAAGGGAGTAAATCTGCAAAATCATTATATATAGCATTTTTCATATAAAAAAGCTTGCATGTCATTCAAGATTTACGTCGTCAGAACCCCACAGCATTGCCAAAACATCAGAATAGGTAGTAAGTGAGGAATTTTTAAAACATCAACTATTTGTCAAACTATTATATTAACAGTAAATGCACTTAGTTTTAAGACTACTGCAACAAACTAAAATAGATAAGAAAACATTTTAAGACAAAATTATATATTCTAAATTTTAAACTTACCTCTTTTAGGGCTTTAATAGTAAAAACGTCCTGCCATTATTTCTTGTTCAAAATAATCTATCCTATATGAAAGCTTATCAGCTTTCTACAGACTATTTATTTGTTTTGGCATATCACAATCACAATACACAACAATAATTAGTTTTTATAGCTATTAATCTAAATTTAATATGTATTTATAAATACAATTTATTAATATATATATATATATATATATATATATATATATATATATATATATATATATATATATATATATATATGTGTGTGTGTGTGTGTGTGTGTGTGTGTGTGTGTATATTATGATCAAATTGTGTAAGTAATCAAAACATAAACAAAATTCCTACTCTAAAAAAGCAGCAACACTTTATACACTTTTGCTACATGCTTAACTGTCAATAAAATGTGAAGTATTTTCATATCAGTTGCATACAATTGTCTAATAGATTTAGTTAATATTATTATTTTGTGGTATATTAGACTTAACGAGTATATTTTTCTGATTATTACACCATGTTGACGCCTATGAAAGATTGAGCAGTTTCGTATGGGTTTTGTATTATTAGCTGTGTAAGGAAAATTTGAATTCTAAGGTTGATGTTCTGGAAATTTTAAAAACAAGTGAAGTCACATTGTATAAACCGTGACGTGCAAGTGTTTTACTTTGAAAAAACGATATATGTAGGATATAGGTAAGAGAGAGACAGAAGATATATTTTCTCTCTCGAGAATAAAAATGTTCCTTTTGTAAATAATAATGTTAATATAATAAATATTAATATTTATTAATATTATTATTATTTTTTATTAATATGTATTATTATTATGGTAAATTAAACTTATGAGGAAGTAAGTTATGTATATTGTAATTTTTAAATACTTATGAATATTGCATTTTAATTTGTATTGTATTATTATATTGAATTATGTTGCAGTGTATTGTGTTGTATTTTTATATTAATAACGAAATAAACAATAAATTTTACTGCAGAGTGTGTGTAAAAATTTTTTTGCATTAAACTCCTTTCATACATATATGAAAATAAAAATATACATTTTCATCAAAATATTGATTCAATCCTTTATTTACTATACTCCTATTACAGGTCAAATGTTTATATACAGCAAACGATGGACCATATACCTATATACCTAATTCTGTTTCTCTTTCTACTCTCTCTTACCTATAATGATTGTGCAGATTGACTCCCATATAAATTTGTAGTCAAACGGGGTGAGGCAGTCCAGTGGGACTGTCACACCCGTTTTTTCCTATTAATTGTGCAATCAAAAATATGTTACAACCACCACTCTATTATGTGTTTGTGTGTTTTTGAGTTACTTGGTGTCTATGGGATATATGGATATACTACACTAACAAATACATATATTTAAAAGTTTAATTCCCAATAACCATAATTTGCTTTAAATAAACTAGTCAGCAAATCAATTATGACTACTGAAATTTAGAAGCAAATCAATTGTGTATGGATATTAAAATATTTTATTGATTTTACAGGAATGTGGGCTGAAAGTCTCACTGTTGACGACTATCAAAACCTCATAGACAGAGGTTGGAGAAGGTCAGGAAAGTATTGTTATAAGTCAATCATGGATCAAACTTGTTGCCCTCTATATACTATCAGGTAAATTAATAATATCCTTGTTTGTTGATATATGCTAGCTATGACCTGAGTGTAATTCCATATTTTTTGCAATCATGTTTATTAAACTATGTTTAAAAATAAAAAAATTTGATAGGTATTTGAAAATTCATGATAAAGGACACTTAATTGGAAATATCGTCAGATGAGAAGATTAATAAAATCGAAGTACATCTCCAGCAAAGCCACAGAAATACTAACGAAATTCATAGGGCCTTAATTAAAGAGACAGTTACCTATGAGAGCAAAACATTTATTGAAAAATAAATCTGAGGAGGAAGAATTGGAACTATGGAATGATTGGGAAAGGAAAATAAGAATTATAGATGTACATACACAGAAAAATGAAGATGAGATCAAGAAAATTACATGAGACATAAAAGCAGAGACAATAAGATAGTTGGGACACATGGAAGTAATGGGGAACTGTAGTAATGAAAAAAGTTGGTAATTAGTAAAAAAGTGCAAGACTACTTTAGCCCATGGCTCATAGGACGTGCAGAGTTTATAAATAATTAATAAACACTATTTTTATTTATATGCGTACACCAATAAATTTAAATCTATTTTTTTTTAGATGTGATGTAGTAAATTTTAATCTAAGCAAATCGCAAAAGAAAAATATTAAAAAAGTAAACAAGTTTTTGAAGGACGGGGTAATTAATAAAGAAACTACAGAAACGATAGATTCTATTGAATCTGAAAGTCATTTACATATACCCAAAGATCACCCTGCCTTTGACTTGACTAACATCAATACAAATAATGTTGATAATGTACTGAGTGGTTACAGTAACGATAGCCAAAAACCATCTACCTCAAAGAAAGGGGTAACTACAAATGAAAAATGCGAAAGATTGGAAGCGCTGGTAGATCAATCTTGTGGTAAGTTAAATTTAATCAGATTTCTACCCATTTTGTAGACATACATCTTATGGCAGTTGTTTAAGAGTGCTTTTTAAATGTTCAATTTTCTTAACGACTTTTAAATGTGTAATTTTTTTTAGTAATAAAAGGCCTACTTGGGCATAAAGTCATTGCGATATTTTCTCGTACAGTTTCGTCTAAGCTTTTAAACAGAGGAGACGTATTTTATAGCCGTGTATTGGTGACAATATATTATTATATTTAGTGATCAAATGTTGGTAAATTACATCCGATTAGAGTTGGTCATTAATTACATTTACCTAATTCCAAAAGAAACATCCTTGTAATTAAATGTATTGGTACAAACAAAATTAAAGTAGTTTTGAATAATGCATTATCTGCTTATAATATTGTAAGCAGCGACTTTTTAGAAGCCAACAATTTAATTGCCTATTTCGCAAAGTTTTTTTGGAACGTTGTGATTTAATTAGATCAATTAATACAAAGGAAACATATCTATTAGAAAAACTTAAATGTTATAATCCAGATAGTAATATTAAAGAACTAAAACGACTTAAACGTAGAGTCATTACAGAAACAAATGAAACTAAATTAGTAGATAGATAACTTGTATATCATTCTGTCTTTGTTACCAAAGGAAGTTGTGATCAATAGTTGTATTTTTCCGGTGGAACCGTACATATATCCCGTTATACAATGTCAGAAATGCTTAAGGTATGGATATATGACACAACAATGTAAAGGGAAAGAGCGTTGTAAAAGCTGTGGTAGAAATCATATTAATACTGATTGCTCTATGGTAACAAAATGTTTACAATGTGTTCAGCAGCACTCGGAACTATCAAGAGAATGTTCAGAATAAATTAAACAGCCTAAAATTAAGGAAATCATCAAAAATACTTAACTATTGCTAAAACGTTTTGACAATTTGCCATTTTCAAGTGTAAACTTGAAATATAATTGTGCTTATTGAAAATGGCAAATTGCCGAAACATTTAAGCAATAGTTAAATAATAGACTGGCAAACCCAGGAAATAAAAAAAGTTTCTTTATATATATATATATATATATATATATATATATATATATATATGAAAGTAAAATTTCTAATTTGCTATCAAAGAGGTCTCTCGACTTCTCGTTGTTTCATATATATATATATATATATATATATATATATATATATATATATATATATATATATATATATATATATATATATATATATATATATATATATAATCTAATTCATCTCCAATCAACATTTTGGGACAAGCCTCGATAAAAAGAAGTAAAGCAAGCAGATTTGTGTTTTTTTCATACTGCTACAAAAATTTTAAAATTTTGTTTTCTTTTTCTTCTTATTTTTTTTCTTTAAGTGCCGTGTCCTTCAAGAACGTTGGCGACCAGTCGCATGATCTTTACTTTATTCGCAGCTGATCTGAATAATGTCGTTGTTCTGACTCCATACCAACTTTTTGCAACTTTATTCGCAGCTGATCTGAATAATGTCGTTGTTCTGACTCCATACCATAATTTTTACCAACTTTATAATTCTAATTAAATCTCATTTCGCAGATACAGAAAACACTTCTAGTCAAAAATCAATTACAAAATCATCATGTAAAGAAGGACTTGGTGCGGATCCAAATAAACCTCCATGTAAAAAAGCAAAACTTTTAAGGATAGAAAGGAAAAAAGCTAAAGGGGCATCTGTTCAAAAAAATTCTACTCCTGTTCAACCAAAGACCATAGAAGAGTTCTTAGAAGAAATGTCAATTGATAATAAAAATAAATTAAGGGTGAGTATTGTGTCTTAAACCAAGAAAATCATTAATTTCATTCAATAGCACTATAATAACTAAAGCCTGTTTGCCACATCATCTCGAAATATATATTTTTACACATTTAATATTGCAGATTCTTTTGCGTTTTCACTTTTATTGTTGACATATTGTCATTAACAATGTTTACTACTTTATCGTTAACAATTACAAGCCTTTTATCACTGTTTGTTGCCTGAATTTCAAGTAAACCAGTGTGAACCTCCAATATCGAAAATAAATTGTGTGTGTATCCGATGACCACTGTTTTCTCGTTTTCTGGAGAAGGGCAACATAGCTCTTCAATGCCGAATTATTGGGCCAAGTTGACGCCGAATTGCAAAAAAAGCAGTCTCTTTTGGCGAAGTAAAAAGTGCTCCTCTACCACAACAACGCACCGGCTCGTACCTTTGCCGTTAACACGGACAAATTAGTCGAATTGGGCTATGGACTGCTACCCCATTCACCTTAATCTCCAGATTTGGCACCGTGCGACTTCTTTTTGCTTTTCACCGGGCAGAAATTTGCGTTGAATGAGGTCATCGCTGCCATAAAGGCCTGCTTTGTAGAACTCGAGAAAACGTATTTTTCAGACTTATAGAAGTTAGAGTATCGCTGGGTCAAGTGTATCGATCCAAAAAGAGGCTATGTTGAGAAATAAATTGCAATTTTTCCAAAATTCTCGTTTTTTTACAGACTAAGTGCTTATTGGATCGCCCTTGTATGACAAAGAATGAAATTCTTAAAAATGATTTCCATGACTGCAACTGATATACAAGGAATATAGCTAGTTAAATAAGTTAACTTGTCGTTACTATTATGACCTAGACATTTACTAAAATAGATAGCACAAAGATAGATAAATAAACAATCAATAAGATCTTATGTTTCACGTAATTTTACTCCATAATGATAATAGTCTCCCGTTAAACCGCATGTGGAGCTAGGGGTATAGTAGAGTGGTGGTGTGTTATTTCCTTGTGGTCGGCTACGGTATACAAAGAATGTATCAAACCTAATGTTACGTTTCAGCCCTCTATTATTACCTCTGGTTTTACCCAAACTCCCCGTTCTATTCAGATTCGGTGGACCTGGGGTCGTTGGATATTTCTCAAAATATCTCGATATATATGGAACCCGGACCTTCCGCGTGGTAGTCAAACATTTTTTGATCCGTTTTTCTTCCATACTTATGTTGTAGTAGTAAAAAAACACTCTATGTTTTACAAAACATCGGGGAATGGCAAATATTTGTGACATATAAATGATTCTTAATTTTTTTCTTAGATATGCCTTATATCAACAAGTGTTCCTAATGCCACCTGGACAGAAGTGGAAAATATAGAGTTTGAATTGTATAAAAAATATCAAATGAGTATTCATAATGATCCACCTAGTAAACTATCATTTCATGGTTTTAAAAGATTTTTGGTGAAGTCTCCTTTAAAGGTAATGATTAAGGTAGATTTATTTTTAAAAGCAGAGCAAAATATATACTACGACAAAGGAGACTTCTCTTCAGATGTGTAATTCCTTTTGTTATTATTTTCCAAGTTTTAAAATATACGTAAGTGCAACTTTTGTGCAACAAGTAACCCTTATTATTACATACAGCACCAAAACTGTCAAATACATGTCTTAAATCAAGAAATGTATTGCTTTAACGACTGCTTGTAATAATACATTGCTTTCCGCCATTATTTCTTCACGTTTTGACCGCACCTATAATAGATATTATCCCAATAGTGGCTGATCAGTAAAGAGTCCCGTTTTCAAAGCTTTAATACTAAAAGTTTTCAAAGCTTTAATACTAATAATAAAAGTTTAGATCCTCAAGTTTAAAAAATTTGTTGTGGTGTATCTATACAGGGTCACAGAATAATAAACAATCAGAATTGCCCACTCTCCATGGAAAATTAAGTACGCGCATCTCCTTCGCGCAGACGTTCCGCCATGTTTTAAGGGGAACCAGTGTTGTTTATGTGGTGTGCATAGAAAAATTAACCCGGTTTAATTGACTTACGGCAAACATAGACATACTATACAATTATATTACCAGTGTTAAATATAATAACATAAATATAATATAATTAAACATGAATATAAACAATTACATAACCTCACAAATCATATGCCTGTGTTATGTGTTTCCTTCTAAAACATGGCGCGCGTGCTGAAAAACTTCAAAGGCGGCATCTGAGAGTGGGCATTCTGATTGTTTATTATTCTGTGATAGGGTGCTGAATCGTCAAACAAGCCATAGGAAACTCAATGAGAGATTCTAAATTGCTGAATTCCTGCTTTCCTAATTATTTTACATCAAAAGTCATGGGAAACTATTTGCAAATGACTAAAATCTGTATCAAAAACCAATGTTAAAATTTCTCCACGAATTAAACGTGTTCCAAACTTGTGCAAAAATATAATACATTTTCCAGACCACCCCTAAAAGTCAGGCCACACGCAGTGCAAGAATGTGTATGAAGTGTTGCGTTTGGTCATATTGATGTTTCTGATATTCGACAATATTTGAATTGCCAAAATGTTTATTTTGTAATTTATTGTTTAAAAAACAATAAAATGAATTAAAAAATGTACTCAGTTGAGGAGAAAGAAGCAAAAATAAAGGCAAGTTTTATTCAGGCAAAAGTGCGTTAAGTACCAGTTCTTTATAAAGCGTAAGATATCCCAATAGACCAATTGCAAGTTATTCAACAATTCAAAGGATTTTACAAAATTTTGAAATACTGAGACCGTAATTTATAATTGTACTTGTACAAACAATATTGCTGAAGTACCAAAAAAAATTAGAAAATCAAAATGAAATAAATGTATTAACAGCAGTAGTAGAAAATCCTAGAATAAGTTCTCGGACCATTGCAGACCTGTTTAATATTCATAATTCCACGCCCTTAAAAATTTTGGAAAGGAATAAATTCCTATCATTTAAATTTCAATGTCATGAAGAACTAAGAGGAAGAGATGTTGAGAGAAGAGCGGAATTTTGTTATGACATTTTAGACAAACAATTTAAAAATGTCTGGTTAGGAATATTTAGACACAATATTATAAGACCATTTTTCTATGAAGAAAATTTAAATTCAAAAAAGTTTTTAGACTTCCTCCAAGAAGAGATTTTACCGAGACCTGCAGAAATAGATGAAGAAGAAATTTGATTTCAAATGGATGGATATTCTGCGCACAATAACTGGGAGGTTAAGCAATTCCTTAAAAACAGCTTTAATAATTGTTTGACTGGACCTAACTCTAACATTAAATGGCCTCAGAGATCGGCAGATCTAGCTTCGGACGATTTATTTTATCTAGGGGCATCTAAAATCAAAAATCTATTCTGACCAAAAATTTATAGATATCGAACTACTAAAAATGCGAAGTATCGAATATATAGTCCCAAGATTCCTAAGAGTAACATAGGGCTTCCACAAAGTGTCTCCAGCGAACTATATTTCTGGCTAGGGCTTTGATTTCAAGCCAGGATTTTCCCATTTTTCTCCCTTCGTCCAGTACTGTCCTTCTCCAAGTTCCCTTAGGTCTGCCTACTTTCCGTCGGCCTTGGGGATTCCAATCCAGCGCTGTCCTGACAATGTCATTTGGCGGTCTACGGAGTGTGTGGCCCAGCCATCTCCATTTTCTTCGCCTTATTTGCATTATGACATTTTCTTGGTTGCTTTGGTTCCATAAATTTTCATTGGAGATTCGGTTAGGCCAAAATATACGAAGGATTTTTCGTAACGCTCTATTGATGAAAACTTGTAATTGGTGTATAATCCGACAAGCGAGAGCTGGCGGGTGAGCTGCGCGAAAATAGAAAAGGAATTATTCTAAGAGATAGGAGAGGTACTTAATCGCGGTTATAGGTATATAGTATAGGTACTTAAACGGTTATACACGATGTGAACTCCTAGCCGACTGCAATAGAAATGAGCAATCCCTTCCACTTTTCAATTTGTTCTACGCGCAACCCGCCAGATCTCGCTTGTCGGATAATACTATGGGTGCTGATATCTTCCACGTTTCGCAGCCATACAGTAATACAGCTTTTACATTTGTGTTGAAGATTTTTAATTTCGTTTTAGTTGGGTAAATCCTGGATTTCCATATGTTGTTAAACATGTTGTAGGCGTTGCGAGCCTTATTTATTCTTTCATGTACATCACGCTCTGTACCCCCATTACAGTCAATTATGCTGCCCAGATATACAAATTCCGCTACTCTCTCAATTTTCTGGTCGTTGATTATAATAGGTTGGTTGTTTCTGGTACCAAATCGCATTTCTTTGGTTTTCTTGATGTTTATTTCTAGACCAACCTTCTTTGATTCTTCTTGTACTCTGTTTACTTGGAGTTGCATGTCCTGTTTTGTATGTGCTAGGAGGCATATATCATCAGCGTAATCTAGGTCTTCCAGTCTGTTTGTTAATCCCCAGTAAATTCCTCTATTAGAGTTTACCTAGGTTAGTAAGGAGTCCTGTACAATGTTAAATAGTATGGGGGATAAAACACAGCCCTGCTTTACTCCGTTTAGCATAGCTATTGGATCAGATGTTATGCCGTTGTGTAGGATTTTGCTTTCTGTGTCACTGTAGAGTTCTTTGATGAGATTTACTATTTTTTCTGGTATTACTATTTCCTGCAGTGCTTTCCATATGGCCGTATGTGTGATCGTGTCAAAAGCTCTCTTGAAGTCCACAAAGCACACAAAGAGAGGAGAGTTGAATTCCTGTGACTGTTCTACAATTATTCTTAGTGTGTTAATTTGGTCCAAGCATGATCTGTTTGGTCTGAAACCGGCTTGTTCCTTCCTCAACATTGGTTCTACACTGTTTATTAGTCGGTTGTTTATAATTATTGCTGTTAATTTATTTATAGTATTCAGAAGTGTGATTCCTCTCCAGTTTTCGCAATATCTTCTGTCACCCTTTTTTGGTATCTTTATTATTAATCCCGTTTTCCATTCTTTGGGAAACTTTTCCTCTCTCCAAGCCCTTTTCAAGAGTGGTTGGATTAGCTCTGCCACTGTACCTGGGCAAGCTTTTAACAACTCTGGTGGAATATTGTCAGGGCCGGCTGCTTTGTGTGCTTTCAGTTTTTCTATGGCCATTTCTATTTCTTGCGTTGTTGGTTCGTTGGTGTTAATTCTCAGTTGGATATTGGGTATTAGGTTTTCTGCGTCTTCTGGTGGTGTTGGGACTGCACTTAGAGATTCGCTAAAATATTCATGCCATCTTTTGGCTTATTCCTGTGGCGCTGTAATATCTTCACCTGTAGCACTTTTTACAATTGGTTGGTGGGTAGTATATCTTTTATTGGCTAGTTGTTTAGTGATACTATATAATTGTCTCATGTTTTGATGTTCATCGGCGACTCGCGCTTCTTCGGCAAGATTTTCTGCCCACTTTCTTTTGTCTTTCTTTGCTGCCTTCTTGACAGCTTTATTCGCTTCTCTATAACTTTCTCTAAGTCGGTTCTTCTCTGCTGCTGTCTTGGAATTTAGTAATTCTAGATTAATGTGTTCTATTTTGTTCCATGTTTCGCTCGTAATCCACTCTTTCTTTACGTCTTTCTTTAGGCCCAGCACGTTTTCACTTGTTTCCACAAGGGCTTTGCTAATCGTTTCCCAATTTTTGTCCTGTCTTTCGTCGATTTTGGATCTCAGCTGTCGTGCGAATTCTACTTTCGTCTTGTTATTTTGTAGTTTCTCAATGTTGAACTTTTTTCGAATAGGTTTGTTCAGTTCTTTTCTATTCCTAGCTATTTTGAATCTAATTTCGGCTATCATCAGGTAGTGATCACTGGCATCTGCGCCTCTCCATGATCTGACATCTAAGAGAGATGTTTTCCATTGCTTACTGATTGCAACGTGGTCGATTTGATTGTAGGTGCGGTTATCTGGCGATTTCCATGATACCTTGTGGATTGTTTTGTGTGGGAACAAAGTCCCTCCAATGATTAGGTCATGGTTACCACATAATTCAATGAAGCGTTCGCCGTTGTTGTTTCTCTGGCCAGTGCCATGCTTTCCGATAACGTGTCCTAGGTTGGTGTTGTCAGTGCCAACCTTGGCATTGAAGTATCCCATCATTATTTTTATATCGGATCTTTTAATTTGTTCTAATGTTGCTTCAAGGCATTCGTAGAAATCCTCTTTTTCTTGTTCTGATGCTTGTTCTGTTGGTGCATAGCACTGAATCAGTGTTACCAGTCTTAATTTGGTCCTAATTCTTGCAGTGATTATTTGCTCTGAAACTGGTTTCCATTCCACAAGAGAATTTTTTGTGACTTTACTAAATAGAATTCCTACTCCATTTTCATGTCTTCCGCCATCAGTTTTACCAGAGTATATCAGCAGGTCGCCTTCCATGTTGACGTGCTCTCCCGTCCCATTCCACCGTGTCTCACTGAGACCTAGTATATCGACTTTATATGCTT